CCCCGCCGATATGGCCCGCGAAATCCTCCAGGTCCGTTTTTGCTGTACAAATTTTCTGTCATAAGAATAAATAACGGACGCATACTGCATGGATCTTAGTATCAAAGAGAATCTCATATATTAGAAACAGTAAGTTTTTTTATGGTAAATGCCATAAAATTATTGAAACAAAAAAAATATTTCCAACATTGAGTTAAACGTGTCAAAATGACATCAAATCGCGAGTTGACTCGTTACGTTTCGTTTCAAATGAATTGAACCGAATTTTTTCAAAAAATAATTTTTTTATATTTCATAGAAAATTAATACTTCATTTCATTTTTATTGGTTATATATATATATATATATATATAGCTTTTTATTTACTTATATTTAAATTTTATATTAAAATATCATTTATTTGATAATTTTTTCTAATATAAATAAAAACTATTATATTTTTTTACTCGCAAATCAGTTCGTATAGATCATGAAGCAGACAAACATAATCGAACCGAAATTTTTCTTGACTTGATTGAAATGAGTCTAACGAGTTAAATCCAAAACGAGTCATCTCGTTTCGATCCGAACCGAGGCGACTCTTTTGACTCCTCTCGTTAAATGGCGACATCATTTTTTGCACCACGTCACCAATTTCAGGGGTTTAATTTTCATGGGATTTACCATTTCTCGGTTTTGATAGGTCCAAGACGTGGTATTTGCGAACCGGCCGGCTAATGTGGCAATAACCTACCTAACGTACGACCGAGCCGATATGGCCTTTGCGAACTACGGCCCACTATGGCGTCAAATGCGGAAGATTTGCGTAATGAAGCTCTTCAGCAGAAAACGAGCCGAGTCATGGGCATCGGTACGTGAAGAAATCGGTTCTATGATTCAATCCATAACCGAACAAGCCGGTTCACCGGTCAACGTAGGAGAGTTGGTATTCGCATTGACCCGGAACATAACGTACCGGGCGGCATTTGGGTCATTCGCACGTGACGGCCAAGACGAGTTCATGAAAATACTGCAAGAGTTCTCCAAGCTCTTCGGAGCCTTCGATATGGCGGAGTTCCTGCCGTGGTTGGGGTGGTTATATCCCCGCGATTTCGTGAAGAGACTGGAAAAGGCGAGAGGATCGTTGGATAGTTTCATAGATAATATCATCGATGAACATATGGAGAAGAAGAGGACGAGAGATATCAACGATGATGATGGCAACGATGATATGGTGGATGAACTCATGGCATTTTACAGCGAAGAACACGAGCAAAAGGGTGTCAAACATGACGATTCCCAGTCCCTTCTCAGACTCACAAGAGATAACATCAAAGCCCTCGTCATGGTATGTTCCATCTTTTTTGCCCATATGATATGTGGGTATAGATCCCAATTTAAAGACAGTCAATATATATATATATATATATATATATATATGTGTGTGTGTATATGTAGGATGTGATGTTTGGTGGAACTGAAACGGTGGCATCAGCAATCGAATGGGCAATGGCGGAGCTAATGAAGAGTCCAAAAGAACTGAAAAGAGTGCAACAAGAGCTCACTGACGTCATCGGCTTGAATCGACCGTTCAATGAATCTGATCTTGAAAACCTCCCCTATTTCAGGTATACCAAATCACCATATCTATCATCTTTAATATCATGCTAACGAATTTCATGACGAGAAAAAACCCAAAAAAAAAGAATAAAAAAATATTGTGTTTTATAAAAGGTGTGCGATGAAGGAGACGTTAAGAATGCATCCACCGATCCCTCTCCTCCTCCACGAGACATCAGCGGACACGGTCGTGTCCGGGTACGGGATTCCAAAGGACTCGAGGGTCATGATCAATGTGTGGGCCATAGGGCGTGACGGGTCGGTTTGGCCTGACCCGGATGAGTTCAGACCGGGTCGGTTCCTCGACAGCAACTCCCCTGACTTCAAAGGCAGCGACTTCCAGTTTCTTCCGTTCGGGTCGGGTCGCAGGTCGTGCCCGGGTATGCAACTGGGTCTTTACGCTCTCGAGCTGGCCGTCGCACACATGCTTCACTCCTTCGACTGGGAACTCCCCGACGGAGTTAGCTCCGGCGACTTGGACATGACCGACATGTTCGGTCTCACCGCTCCTAAGGCTGTCCGACTCGTCGCCGTCCCGAGTTACCGGCTCACTTGCCCGCCAAACCAGATTTAGATGTCCAGACTGGTGATATCGGATTATTCTGTTTTGTCAATAACGATTATATCGATACATGATTACGGATAATGATAAAGACAGAACCATATTAATCTGTGTTAATAGATTCTATATATATGACGTAGATGCTACATTTTCATTGAAATATTGAATTTTAAAGATTGAACTCACAAGAACAGCACCCGGAAAGTGTCCATCAGCAGATACAGCTCATCACTTCTAAAGAAACATTCTCAGTTTCTGTTTTTCGAAAATCACTTAACTCACCTTCTGTGATCAAAATCCGATCTTGTAAGAGAGCCGACTGTACAACTCCGGTGAAGATGTACTGTCCGGACTCTGGCCAATCTTTGTTATCAGTCAGAATCTCCGAAGGTAGTGGTGGTTGATGAGCCTTGCAGAAGGGCACTCGTAAGCAAAGTGCCCTCGTCCACCGCAGTTCTTACAAATCGTCACCACAGCAGTGCAGTCCCTGCTCTTATGACCCGCCTGCCTACAGTTCCTGCAAACAATATCCCGTTGGTCTCTGTAACCGCGATTGCCTCCTCTGTCTCCCATCGTGCCAGCTTTAGGGCACTGCCTAGCCACATGACCGCCCACATTACACAGGTTGCACACAGGGTCGTCTGTACAATCACAAGCCAAATGCCCTGTTTTCCTGCAGTTGTTGCAGGCCTTTTCATTTGTGCAGTCCGCTGCAATGTGCCCTTGCTTTTAGCAGTTGTTGCATAGTCTAAGGTCCCCGGTTGGAGCTGGGTCGATGTGCAGTCTTTTGCTTGATGCCCGGCCTTGCCACAGGTGTGGCAAATGCCTTTGTTAGGGCAGTTACTCGCCATGTGACCAGGTTCACGGCAGTTCCAGCACAAGGATTTTGTGGAACATTCTGATAAGATATGCCTGTTTGAGTTAAGCATAGGTTATGCACCAGCTCAATGTGAACGAAGCTTGCAAATTTCGGTAACCTAAACAAAATCTGGCCGAGGATATGGAAAAGGAGAGGAGGAGAGTCGGGAGACAAAACAGAACATTGAGAGCATGGGCCATCAGGGATCAGAGACTCCTACGCAAAGGGTGAGAATAGGAAATATGAATAAGACTACTTACCCCGGAAGGCCACAATTGTGACAGATCGACACATTATGGCACTCTCGAGCAAAATGGCCCGGCCGCTTGCAGTTGTTGCACAGATTACTTTGGCTGCAAAAGCATTTAAAACAGCCGGGATGAAGCACAGCACGTTACTCTGAAGAACTAACTAACTAACATCTGTGGTAGTGCCTGAAACAATTTCTTTCTCAGAACAGATGGGGCAAGAGGCAAAACCGAGCCAAACCACCATTAAAGACACGTCTAAAAAGTCACCAATGGAAAGTGACACTAAACAAAGGTTTTCAGAATCCACATATCTGACTGTCAAGAAACCGTTTAAACTGTTAAAAAGTAATCGCCATGGCTGATGGCTGAAGCTACCGAAATTAGAAACCTGAAACTCCGACGAGAATCTCTCCTATAACGAGCATCCCGGTAAGAAAAACGATCAGAGCAAATCTTCCGGCCCACCGGACTCCTCTTGCTCCTGCTGTCTAAACTCATTTTTCTATAGTAGTCCAACACACACTACCACGAAATAGTCTGCAACTGATACTGACCAACCACCGACAACCTAGTTTGCCGCCTCCTTCCTTTCCTGTCCATTTGCAACCACACTTCCATCAACCACGAGAGACTCAACTCAAGGAATCTACTTTCTCTCCCACATTTCCTATATCAGCAACGGCAGATCGCTATGGTAAACTTTCTAATTCTATCCTTCCATACGAATTCGAAATCTCCTTTAAAAACCAACCATTGAAGCATATTTCTGAGTCCAATACTCTGATCAACATGATACCAAGAAGATTCGTTCACCCATCAATATTCAAACACCCTGAGGAACCCTAACTGAAACTAAGCGGAAGCATAAACGAATGCGAAACCGAATTTTAAAAAAATCTAGGCACACTAAAAGGAACAAAACCGAAATGCTCCGAAATTCAAACTAGCCGTACCTCCGTCACAATCAGGATTTAGGACCAAAAAGCCTTCCTCCGACACGAAATCCAAAGAGCAAGAGGAAACCAAGTACGAGGGAGAATAATTCTGAAGGGACTGTTTTGCAAATATCTGGTCTTTATTTGGGCCCGTTGTATATAATGGGCCAAATTGGGCTCATTTCAATCCTACTAACGTCACAAAAAAGGCCACATTTAAATTCACTCTATTTATTGGGCTCATTTCAAAGCCCAGATAGTTTGATTTGTTCTAGAGTGCAACGTGTCATGAGATGGCACTATTTGCTGACATGGCAAGCCGTCAACCGTTGATGTAGACTTCACGATCTGATAAAATCTTGGACGTGAACCTCAGCCGTCGAAACGTACTCATAATGTCTTTTCGTGATTGTAAAATTCGGAGTATATACTTATATATTTATTTATTTAATTTCCTCGGTGAATTTGATAGGTTTGTCTTGATTACCAAATATTGCGCCTTTCAATGTGGACCACACTCTCAAGGAATCTCAAGAACCTGCAATTGATTACATATTATTAACTCAATAATGGTAATTTGATGAATGTTGGCTAATTTGTAACGCAAATAATAATCTTAACATTATATGGAAATATCGTTTCGAATACTGTCGAGGTTATCGTCCACGTGGCGAATCCTCATCAGCCGGTTAACGACCACCTCATACAACCCATCTTGTGACAAAGCCCTTTGTCTGTTTTCACTGTGAGTATATTCACGCATATATATGTGTACGTATCGCCCACCTGACCAAACGATATTGTGGAGGTGCCATAACAGTTTAGATTCTCAGAGAGAAAACAGGGAAGGAGAAGAAGTGGAGGAAAAATGGCGTCGACGTCGGCGACTCTTCTCAAGGCCTCGCCGGTTTTGGAGAAGTCGGAGTGGGTGAAGGGTCAGAGCCTCCTCCGGCAAACTTCTTTCGTCGCCGCCGTCCGCAGACACGTGGCGCCTTCCCGGCTCACCGTCCGCGCCTCCTCCGCCTACGCCGACGAGCTCGTCAAGACCGCCGTAAGATTTGGGAAGAAGAGTTTGGTATAAACATTTCATTTTCAGATTGATATATTGGACATAAAAATTTGATGACAGAAAACGATAGCGTCGCCGGGACGAGGGATATTGGCGATGGACGAGTCGAATGCGACTTGCGGGAAGAGGTTGGCGTCGATAGGGCTGGAGAACACGGAAGCGAACCGTCAGGCTTACAGGACGCTGCTGATAACGGCGCCTGGACTCGGTCAGTACATCTCCGGAGCCATTCTCTTCGAGGAGACTCTCTACCAATCCACCACCGACGGCCGGAAGATGGTCGATGTCCTCTCCGAGCAGAACATCGTTCCTGGCATCAAAGTCGACAAGGTACTACGTACTACTACAACTGCTTTCCTTTCTCAGTCATCTCTTGTCTCTAAACTGAATCATAAAACCCATTTTGTAATATATTATGTTATCTAAAATGCAGGGATTGGTGCCACTTGCTGGCTCTAACAACGAGTCGTGGTGCCAAGGGCTCGATGGTCTCGCCTCTCGCTCGGCCGCCTACTACCAGCAGGGTGCTCGTTTCGCCAAATGGTAACGTTTTCCGCATCACGCGTTTTGCTTCAGGTACCCATTTGATTGCCATTATGTGAATTCTGGTTTCTGTTTCTGATCGATATAGGCGTACCGTCGTGAGCATTCCCAACGGTCCATCTGCTCTCGCTGTGAAAGAAGCTGCTTGGGGTCTCGCCCGTTACGCAGCAATCTCTCAGGTAAGGAGGTTGCTCTTCCGGCAAGAAATTTGCTCCGGTAGCTTCTTACATGTATTTTGATTCTCTCAGACAAATCCTTGCACTAAGCGTTTGAGTTCCAACAGGACAACGGGTTGGTGCCGATTGTGGAGCCGGAGATTCTCCTGGACGGAGAGCACAGCATCGACCGTACTTACGAAGTGGCAGAGAAGGTGTGGGCAGAGGTTTTCTTCTACCTCGCCCAGAACAACGTCATGTTCGAAGGTATCGTTTAACGTTCCATTCCAAGTACTTTCTTGTTCGATACAAGAGTTAAGCGATGGAAAATATTCACAACTTCTGGTTGGCATATTGTTTTTTTTTGGGAACAGGTATCCTCCTAAAGCCGAGCATGGTGACTCCAGGTGCAGAGTCGAAGGACAGAGCCACCCCTGAACAGGTCGCTTCTTACACCCTCAAGCTCCTCCGCAACAGAATCCCTCCCGCTGTCCCCGGAATCATGGCAAGTGAACCATATATACACGTGTGTGTATATATATATATATTGTGTTTGTCTATGGAAATGTATAATGATCCTTTTGCGTGGTGTGTTTGGATATTCGGGGTACTGCAGTTCTTGTCGGGTGGTCAGTCGGAGGTGGAGGCCACTCTGAACCTGAACGCGATGAACCAGGGGTCGAACCCGTGGCACGTGTCCTTCTCATACGCACGTGCCCTTCAGAACACCTGTCTGAAGACGTGGGGTGGCAGACCCGAGAACGTAAAGGCCGCTCAGGACACGCTTCTGGTCCGAGCTCAGGCCAACTCCCTCGCCCAGCTCGGCAAGTACACCGGTGAGGGTGAATCCGAGGAGGCCAAGAAGGGCATGTTCGTCAAGGGCTACACTTATTAGCAAATATGAAAAAGAAAAAAGATTGCCAGATGCTGCAGATGATGAATGACGTATAATGAATAAGTTTTCTATGGATTTGGACTCTTAATTTTTTTTTTCATATTAAAATCCATAGATACAACCTAATACGATCACTTTACACGCTCATGGAGACATGAACTGAAACACAAGATCAAAGACTTACTCCTCTGTCCGAAAAGCTCAAAGTAGACAAAGGTTCGAGATCGATATTCACAAAATGATCGAACCATCTCCACAAATCCATTCGTTGAACCAATCGGAAAAGAATAAAGATTCCAATAAAAAAAAATTATCTGTTCAGATCTTACATTGGAAAAAAAATCATTAAAGCTAATACCAACTCAAACCAAGAACATGGAAGAAGAACAGAGCCCTTCCCTCATGAAGAAAGATACCCTAAAGATTAAGATCCAACAAGTCTGTGTAACGCAAACATATGGCTTTTAACGATCCCTCAAAGTGTAAGAACACCTGCAACAAGTTCAAAATGTTGAGTCGAAACATTAACGAGCCTGTACGATCGTACTATCAGTAGGGAAGAGAAGGTGAACCTGTTCATTTTTCAGGCCCTCCTCTAAAGGGTCCGACATGAACGGCATTTGCGTTTTCGAGATTATTATTTACATCGATGCCTTGCTCCTTAAGAAACAAACAGTTGAAACCCGTTTAGGACGAGCCAAATGGAAGACATGCTATAAAGACTAACTCAGCAAAGAATGCATATAGGTACCTGGTTATATGATGCCGGCTCGTGTATTCTCTGGGGCTTGGCGTTCAGATCGATCAGTTTGTTCTCTACTTTTCTTCCAGGCTGGGCATCTGCGGTTGGTTCTTGTCGGCAAGCAGGAGACTTGTTTTGGTTTGGCGAGTTCTCCCTTGCCCGATTCTGCTCCTTGTGCTGCAATCCCGGTTCAGTTACACGGCCGGACTTGTCCCCTGGAAACTGCAAGAATATGCAAGGAGGAAGAAACTTAAAAAAAACAGGAGAAGAGATACAAAATAGGTTCAAGACTCAGCTTTGTGACAACAAGATTCAAATCAAACCTCGACTCTCTGTCTCAGCAATAGAACTCGCCCATGAGTTCTCTTACCACCGACATGTACAACCATGTCGCATTGCAGGCAAAGAGAACTACCGTCTATCTCGCAGTAAAAGAATGCTACTCGGGTTTTTTAAGATCCGGAAAAAGAAAAAAGAAAATATGGGTTTCAAAAATAAAACTTTGGCAGTATAGCGGAAACTGATGAAAGGGGAAGTGAACCTGTACCAGGTGCATTTTCGCAGATGTCACAGCTTGGAGCATGGCTGGGATCAGCCAAACCAACTCTTACATGTCGGCTTGCCAATTTATTGCACAAATGAACCTGAAAACACAAGAAAAAATGACCCTTTTCGTAACCTTATCCAACAAAAACTCGTGGCAAGAAATCTGGGACGATACTCGGGATCCATGAAAGATACAATATCAAAATCCATGGATGTATGTTATCCAGATACAGACTATATGCAAACTCTGAGAACACAAAGAAATCACTGCAACGGACATAAGACAAGGGGATTTCGTGTCTTTTCGTCTGATTTGTACTTGCATTAAAAACATTACACGGAGTAGTGGATGAGAAGCAATACAGAAACTCAATGTGGCGAGTTTGAATGTGGTGCAACTACGAGCAATCTGCTTCATTCCAGCTCCATAGATGTTAAAGTTAAGTGACGAGACAAATTCAACTTATATCTATTTTCGACTTACACATAGATCCAAATCTCAAGTCTTTTCAACAGCAAGAGCCTTAGCTCAAAGTTCATCACTTTTTCACCCACCCAATCATGAAAGTATATAACCCAGGCGAAGTAGAACATTGAAACACGAGGAACGAGGCATCTCGAGATCGAAACTCAAGTCCGATCCAATTGAGAACAGTGTTAAACTAATCCCAGATGCAAAAATAAGATCTTTTCTTTTTGTCCGAACCATCAACGCAGATTCCATCTCTAACTAGAAAGACACGAACTTGCATGTATATTGGGACATAGGCATACATAGAACGGTGAAGGGTGTTTATTAATGAAGATGGCACCTTTTCATCGCAGGAGCGGCAAAGGGCGGCCTCGTCGGCGGCGCAGAAGAGGATGGCGCCGGCGCTCTCGCACGCATCGCACAGGATTCGCATCTTTTATACTCTATTTTATTTTTTGTTTACTTTTTCTTCAACCTTGCGCTTCTAGTTATCTCTCGCTTCTTCCTCTACCGAGAAATTTTCTCACCTTCCAAGCAGCATCGTTCTCCGTCCGAGAGCAGAACCCAGAACTCGATTGTTGGAGACAGAAACAGAAGCAGAAAGAATCTGTTAACTAATGGCGAGAGAGAATTAGGGTTTGGAATACACGGGAGATTAAGGAAGATGACGGGAAGAAGAAAAGTTTTTTATTTTATTGTTATTGAGAAAGTTCTTCCTTCGTTTAATGGCGACGGAGGTGAAGGAGAAAAAGGAAAAGGAGGAGCCGAAGAAGAGAGACCGGTGCAGAAAAAAAGGTGGAACCGAGAGATTCTTACACGCGCTGCGAGTAAAGAAGTTCATTCACTCGCCCTGTCTCCCGTAAACACAATTTCATGTGCAGAGGTAGAAAAATACATAAATAAACGACCAATATTGTTATTATTTTATAATGAGTAAATATTTTCGCAATAAAATAACATAAATAGGATGTAATCGATCATCATCGTTGTTTGTTTAGGCGTGGCTGGTAAAGCAAGTTGTTGGGTCTCTCTCTCTCTCTCTCCAAGGTTGGGAAAATGGTAGTGAGGAATTTGGTGGCACTTGACTTGAATTGTGATAATCAATGTTTTTGCTGACACTTATGTTCATGATTGATAGCTTAGACATGTTTCTGTTTTTTTTTTATTCTGATTTCTATGTGCTTTGGTTATAACAAAAAATGGTGCACCAGAAACTAAGATATATAACATTAAAATAATAAAATGAAATGAAAAAACGAGGGCCACAAGAGAAATAAAATTTTTTTTAAAAAAAGGTGCACAGCGAACTGAAACTGGTGGTCGAGGAAGCAACAGCTTTACAAGCTCTTTTGTTTCTTAGTGGCCCTCGTTTAAAGCGGTCATTTTCATTCACCCCCTAACATATATTTCGATATTATAAATTTAAAATTCAAAATTATTTTCTCATAATTCGCCATAGATTTCACCAAAATATCTCCCTCGCTAATGGGCCACATGTGGGCTGGAAGGGTTTGCTATTTGCTTTCTTTTCTTGCTGGGTCTTATAACTCTCAAACTAAGCCCATTTGCTTTTGGGGAGAATGCTCTTCAACGGATAAAAAAAAAAGCTACTTTCCACGTGGCGTGAGACTAACTGACAATATCAAATATTAAACATCTAAAAATAAATAAAGGGGGCAGCCAATGCCTTTGATTCACGTGGCCTTTTTCGGATTCCCGACAACGTTTCAGGGTCAAAAACGTCATTTCAATCGTATCTCTCCACTCTCTCTCTCTCTCTCGAGTTGAAGAAGACGACGACTCAGCGAGGCGCTTCCCTACGAGATTTGCGGGACCAAATCAATGCCCATTGGTCCCTCTTGGAGAGAGAGAGAGAGAGAGAGAGAGAATATGCAGCAGTGGTAGAAGAACAAGACGAAGAAGAAGACGTCAAAGAAGAAAGGGGCTGTGATTTTCTCCCTATCTCGCTTTCTTCCTCTATCTCTTTCTGGCTGAATTTCTCGACCGGGAGAGATCGTGGGTTCCCCGAGAAATCGACTATTTTCACTGTTCATCACTCCCTGAGATTCCGGGTTCGTCTCGTATGTTTCTTTCTCTCTAACTTTGCTCTCCTTTAGTCGTAGTTTCTTCACCATCGTTTTTCTCCGCGTGGAATCATATTTTTCGTCCTTGCATTTGGTTTCTGTAGAAGGCAATTTTGCTTGTCATCGTTAGATAACACCTAATAGTTTCCATATATCTTAGATCGGGATTTCTATTTTCGGAACCTTTGTTGGGAACGAAAAAGTTTCTACATTTTCATCTGGGTGTCATCGTTTGTTGGTAAAATCAACAGAGAAGAATATTTCTATGCTTATCGAACAAACAAAGTAGGCGATCGCTGCATTGTCAGTACCGCACTCTGAGATTGTGGGATTTATCAGAGGTGAAGGCCTGTGGTGGATGATGCAGATCAGAGCTGCTGAGACTGAGTGAGGGGCTCAAGGCAAATATTTTTATAGGCATGTGTATACTTGCATCAATACACAGCATATACATTGATATCGACCCTTATACATACAGAAAAGTTTACCATTCTGTATCAAAACCTTGAATGATTTGTTGCACATCTTTTTTATAATCCGGAAGTTAGGCCCGGTTACATCTCCCAGAGGAGAGGAGAAGCATAGGTGAATTCCCTCCCCAAATGGAGATTCGAATCTGGGTTGGGAAAGCGTTTTATTCCATTGAGCCATCTGGGCGATTTATTGCACATCTTGAAAGAGAATATATCGTTTATTTTCTTGCACTGAGTACTGATGCGTTCTATTTCGGTGGTTTGAGGAAGTTTTAGTGCTTTTGTTCACTGACTTCGTCCTCTAGACTTGCTGGAATGTTTCCAGTATTTTGAATGTGACAATTTATAAATTTCTTAGCACACAGAGATTGATAGAGAAGGGTGGTTTGTGGGGCCTTATGTAACATTCTTTTCCATTAAAGAAAGTTTGGTTAGTATACGTGACTTCGCCTCCAAGCATAGTGGGTGGCCACTACTGAGCGTCTTAATCTTTTTTTATTCTTCGGTTGACGTCAACCCCCTTTTAAGTAAACTGTGTTATAACAACCTTATGTATAAAATGTCTTGTCTTTGGATTTTCTTCGTTCTCTTGTCTTCTGCATCTTGTTTATCGATCCATTCCAGTGTTCTGTTCTAACAGAAAACGAGGCTTTTTCTTGACCTTTATCAGGTTTGGGTTATGTCCTTTGTTATGGCTGTGTTAGTTGGAAAAGATAAATCAGTTGGTTTCTCTGCAGGGGCTTTTCTGTTTCTGAGGGCGTTAACGAGACCTTACCACAAATCTGGCAGTGTGAAAAGACGGCCCTTTTGACATTTGAACTGTTTTCTGCTCAGGTTAACTGCTTATATTGGATCATGGATGCCTTTTGGTCAAACTAGTGTGAGTAATGGGTGCAATTGCTGGAGAAGAGCTGAAGAAGATGGAGAAGACACAGGCTCCACCGGGCCAGGAAGAGAAGATTCTTGTTCTAGTGAGATTGAGGCCTTTGAACGAGAAAGAGATCGCTGCTAATGAAGTTGCAGATTGGGAATGTATCAATGACACCACCATATTATACAGAAACACATTGCGTGAGGGTTCAACCTTTCCTTCTGCATACACATTCGGTAAGAAGATCCTTTCCTTTTAGCTTAAAACCCTTTATACGTACTTTTGTTTCCTTGAACTTCAGACTAGCACTTAATTCTCTGATCAGGAAAATTCACCTTTCGTCCTGTAGCCGACCACTGTTTTAATTTTCTGTTAATACTTTGGTGATTATTTCAAGGCTAGTAAACATCTGCTATGTACTTAAGTCAACATGGCCTTGTCCAGTTGAACTTCAGACAAGCATCTGACCAGGAAAAAACTTAACTTCATCAAAGAATTAACTTCATGTCCTGTTTCCTGTTGTTTTGGTGACAGATAGAGTGTACCGTGGTGACTGCATGACAAGGCAAGTTTATGAGGAAGGAACCAAGGAAATTGCTCTGTCTGTTGTTGAAGGGATCAATTGTAAGCTTCCATACATATTTTCTCTTGTTCTGCTTATTCAAACTTCAAAAAAACAAAAAAAAATGCTAACCTTTTTGACAACTGTTTTGTTTCCAGCTAGTATTTTTGCATATGGTCAGACGAGTAGTGGAAAGACATACACCATGAATGGTATAACTGAGTTTGCTGTGGGTGACATATTTGACTACATTCATAAGGTACTGTCAAACATTTCTTCAGAAAACTTGTTTTTGTTGTCCTTTCCTTTTATTTTTCTATTTATCTAGTCCACCAATGGATCTGAATGCTGCAGCATGAAAAAAGAGCATTTGCTGTGAAGTTTTCGGCTATTGAGATCTACAACGAGGTCATAAGAGATTTGCTGAGCTCAGATAATACCCCGCTGAGGCTGAGAGATGATCCTGAGGTGAATGAACTTTGATTTACCTTATAGATATTAAAAAAGGTTGTATTCATAACCTTTTCTGACTCTCTTTCTTCTTGTTCTCGATTTTCTATCAGAAAGGGACCATTGTTGAGAAAACCACGGAGGAAGTTCTGAGAGACTGGAACCATTTAAAGGACCTTCTCTCTATCTGTGAAGGTAAAAACCCAAACCTATGTCACTTTATGTCCATTTTCCACGAAACAATCTATAATATATGTTGTCAGGATCCAATGCCACTTAGAGGGATTGATATTCAACCTGGTACTTGTTTGTGCTTGAGTAATCTTTGAGAATTTGAGTGCCCGAGAGATCTGAATATTGCCTTTGCAATCTCTTTTTCTTCTTCTATACATCGAATCATGTTCTTTTTGTCAATGGTCTGCATTCTCTTGAATCTCGTATTTAGTTTTTTCTCTGATTAATTTACATAAGGTGATATTTGAGAAACTATATCTTTTACTCTATTTTTCTCATTTATTCTTTGATATGTTGCAGCGCAGAGAAAGATTGGTGAAACCTCACTGAATGAGAGAAGTTCAAGATCTCATCAGATAATCAGACTGGTAGATAAAACCCGTCTCCATCTTCAGGTTTAAGATACAAGAATTCTCACTGGCCATGTTTGATGCTCTTAACTTTGATTGTCGACTTTCACAGACAGTCGAAAGCTCTGCTCGTGAGTTCTTGGGCAAAGAAAATTCAACAACCCTTGCAGCCAGTGTAGTATGTACTCTCTTGTCTACAAACCCGACAACTTCAGTTTCTTTCTCTGTTTTCAGTCATTGTGTTGATGTTGCTGCTTTTTTACAAACAGAATTTTATCGATTTAGCTGGGAGTGAGCGAGCATCACAGGCTATGTCAGCTGGTGAAAGACTCAAAGAAGGTTGCCATATCAATAGGAGTTTGCTGACTCTAGGGACTGTTATCCGTAAATTAAGGTTGGGCAAAATTTATACCCTTTTAACATTTCCAACCATGCTTTTTTCTTGTAAGTTGTAACACATATTTTTGCTGAATCTTTTGGAAAATGTTAACCCGAATGTGCTTAAAATCTGTGATAATATGATGATGTTGATGATTCAGCAAGGGAAGACACGGGCACATCAACTACAGAGACTCCAAGCTCACACGCATTCTGCAGCCGTGCTTGGGAGGCAATGCCAGAACGGCCATCGTGTGCACTCTGAGCCCAGCAAGAAGCCATGTGGAGCAAACAAGAAACACGCTTCTGTTTGCGTGCTGTGCCAAGGAAGTTACAACAAAGGCTCAGATCAATGTCGTCATGTCCGACAAAGCTCTGGTGAAACACCTTCAGCGCGAGCTAGCCAGACTCGAGGGCGAGCTAAGAAACCCCGCCCCAGCTGCCATGATCTGTGATTGTGCAGTGGCGTCGAGGAGGAAAGATCTTCAGATACAGAAGGTTTCTATCTCAGATGTTGTTTCCCACAATGGGTTTGGCTTAAGTTTGGGATATTGGGGATAGTTGGGTGATTTGTTTGTGTTTTATGTTTGTGCAGATGGAGAAGCAGATTGGAGAATTGACCAAACAGCGGGATCTTGCTCAATCTCGGCTTGAAGATTTCATGAGAATGGTCGAAAATGAGGAATCATTAAGGGTATTATTGCCAGTAACAGTTCCTTTTCAAACTGTCACCGCCCTTGCTAACTCAACTGCTAAATAGAACAGTTATTCTAGTTGGGGGACCTGTAATAACTGATTTATCGAACATTTATATTGCTTTTTGGTTCAACCGTTTGCATTCTTTTTTACAGGCCGGAACTCCACGTCTCTATAGTCATGTGGACAACAAATGGGAGGACAGTTCAGTGTCAGAAGTATCAGGCGTGGTTGATCCAGACAGGACCAGTTTCATATCAGATGGTACCACGCCTTTGTCAACAGCAAGAGCTCATGTTCGGTCTCATTCGGGCGATGATCTGGATGATGAGGTGTCACCGATGTCTGTGAGGGATCCATCAGAAGAATACTGCAAAGAAGTTCAGTGCATCGAGATTGAAGAGCCAGTCACAGAAAGGAACACCGAGGATGAAAATGCAAACCTGGGAGTGGGTCTTGATGAAAATGGGTTTAGTTCTGTAAGCTCGAGACAGAGAGGTAGCTGGAGTGGCAGAGAGAATCACGTCACTGGAATGAGGACTCCACCTGATGGAACAGAGATGGACTATCTGGGAAGGCCAGAGGGTCACTCAGCATATCAAGCTTTTGGGTTCGGTTCTGGTGAGAGATTGTTGAGGAATGACTCAATGTCTTCTCGAGGCAGTGATTCCACTGATGTTCACAGCATCAGAACACCGGTGGGAGAAGAGGGTGGTGGCATTACCAGTGTCCGCACTTTCGTTGAAGGGTTGAAGGAGATGGCTAAGCTTCAAGGCGAGGTAAATGACAACACATTATCTCATTCATTGATTCAGTATCTTTATCTACTGGCATGATGAAACTTGGGTGGGATTCAGGTGGGAGATCTGCAGAACTCGGGGAAAATGGGGAAGGACATTGTGATGTTAGGAACTCAGACAAACTGGTCAGAGGAATTTGAGAGACAGAGAAAAGAGATTATCGAGCTCTGGCAGAGCTGTCATGTCTCACTGGTGCACAGAACTTACTTCTTTTTGCTCTTCAAGGGCGATCAGGCAGATTCGATCTACATTGGAGTCGAGCTGAGAAGACTTTCGTACTTGAAAGAGAGCTTTTCTCAAGGAAACCGAGCCATTGAAGGAGGAGGTCGGACTCTCACTTTGGCCTCAAGGTCAGTCACTGTATACATATATATAACTCTCTCACTCACATATATAACTCTCCTATACCGTTTTTTTGTGTAAAAGTATGAAGGAGCTGAAGCGGGAGAGAAGGATGATGAAGAAGCTGATGGGGAAGAGGTTCTCAGAGGAAGAGAGGAAACGTCTGTACGACACGTTTGGAATAGCGTTGAACTCTAAAGGCAGGAGGATGCAGCTGGCGAACCGGCTTTGGAGCAACACTAAGGACATGAACCATGTGAAGGAGAGCGCTTCGGTCATAGCCAAGCTCGTGAGGTTCTTGGAAAATGGCAGTGGCATCAAGGAAATGTTCGGTCTGAGCTTCACTCCCCCACCAACTCGGAGAAGAAGCATGGCCAGCCTTTTCTAACCAAGACCCCGAAGATCTATTATCATCATCTCTCAATATAATAACAATAATAGGTAGATAGATGTACTGTTATATCGGTTTTGGAATATTCGTGTATCAGAATGTATAAATCCTTAGGGCTGGTAGTGTTGGGTTCTTTGGAGATTTTCTTTTGTCCCACGGCTTTCAGTTTGATACGATGGGTGGTTGGTTCTTCTGATGAGTTCTGGGGAGAAGACAAGACATTGTTCAGGAATCTTCAGATGATGTGTCTCAAGTGTTGTTAAAGCTTGAACTGATAGATTCATTCAGAAGATCTTGTGATTCTTTTGCGTGTTGTGTTCGAGGGATAAAACACTATTAATTAATTTTAAAAAAAGAGAAAAAGAAAATAGGAAAAATCCAAATCCATGGGTTAATTTCATTTGTATTTGGGCCTTAATGGGCCGATTAATAGCAAATCATCTTCTCTTAAAAACAGAAGCCCATTTTGATGTTTAACAATGGCGAGAAGAAAAGCCCATTTACAGCCCATTTAAGAAAGACGACGCCATGGTCTGTGGCTCCGGATCCAACACGACGCTGGTGGGGAAAGGTGGTGCAGGAGGCACCCGCGAGACATCGCTTTACCTGGGAGGAGTTCCAACAGGAATTCGAGGCGAAATACTTCCGACAACAGGACCGGGAGTACCGGGTGACAGAATTCCTCATGTTGCAGCAAGGAGATATGACCGTCAGCGATTACGAGGCGGAGTTTACCCGCCTACTGAGGTATGGAGGGCATCTGGTGCCCACCGAGGCATCAAGGATCCAGAAGTTCGTTGCTGGACTCCGACCCTACCTGCGAAGGAGAATCGAGATCCAGGAGTATCCGACGCTGAGTCGGTATATCGCCCAGCTGGAGAAGGTGGAACGGGGAGAGCAAGAGGAGAATGAGGGGAAGATCCGTGAGCGGAGCCCCGCTGGGAGATACTTCGGTGCGGGATCATCTGGGAAGAACGCTCGGAACCACGACCCGCGTGACAAGGGCAAGGCACCGGCGCTGTCGCCTTGGACCGACGTATGATGAAACACACAGCGGTTGAAATTGGCTTCGAGAAACAAAGAAATTAAATTCCCTTCCCAAGGCGTGAAAGCATATGCTATTTCATTTTATATGGGCAAAATAATCATTGGAAACTGCCATCCCGTTAAGATTCGATCTACGACACTCATCGTACGTATACGTATACGGTGTGTATATATACACACCTAACGCCGGATGAGGGTATCTACCTCACTGTGACCACCCAATCGCAAGAAAAGGCAGAATGGAGCTTCTCTGCAAACCACAAACGTCTCTCTCCTGCTCGTTCTCTCTTCACGTCCCTAAACCCTTTTCTGTAAGCGTAAAGTTTGCTCCTTTTTCATTTCACTTCCAATTCCGAGTTTGCTTCCGACAAATCTGGTATTTCTCTTGGGTTTTCAGGTGAGAAGGACAAGGAGATTTCTGGTTCTATGTGGTTCAGACCAAACCCAGATGGTACTTTGCTTTCTCCATATTTTTCTGTCGTATCTTCGCTCTTGCCCAGTTGTCGGATTCCAGTTACAGAAAGCTGGAGAAAAGTGACAGAACATAACTTTTTATCATACGTAGAGCTACTGAGAATTTGATCATCAAAGTGCTGAGCTATTCACCTAAGGAGATGTCAGTTTAATGAACTGTCTGGATGTTCTTATTGTCCAGGAAAATCCAATGACAGTGTCAGTGACTGGAGCAACTGGTTTTATCGGGAGACGATTGGTCCAGAGACTACAAGCTGGTACACACTGGTTCAATCCGATTATATGCTCTTTTCACATGTTGAAAACCAACCTCAATTCCCAGCCAGCAGGCCTTCTCAAAGATTCTGTAATTTAGTAGATTCTTGTAATAGTTTTGTTCATATGTGACTGTGTGATTCACGTACAGATAATCACTCTGTTCGGGTCTTAACACGCTCTAAATCCAAGGCTGAGCTAATATTTCCGGGTAAGAAGGTAATGGCTAGCCTTGTTCTAATTTCCAGAATGCTCTCTCACCCTCGTGAAAAAACGAGGATTTACCGAAACAATGTACAAGATGATTTCTGTTTCTCAGTCTCTACTCTGATTCATCTAGAGATTGTTTGCATTTTCTTTTTTTCCAGCCAGAGAATTCCCAGGTGTTGTGATTGCCGAAGAACCTCAGTGGAGAAACTGCGTTGAAGGCTCAACGGCTGTAGTAAACTTGGCAGGCCTGTCCATTAGCACGAGGTGGTCTCACGAGGTTAGTCTACCGTTTCTGAAACTGTTCTTTGGTGTAATACTACCACTGCTAATAACCCATTTACTGCTATTGCAGATCAAGAAAGAGATTAAAGAAAGCCGGATTCGTGTCACCTCTAAAGTTAGTGAACACAGTCTGTGATCATTTACTTGATGACCCTTGAATTTCAGATTTGATTATATCTTCTTGATTTTCTGTACTGGAAAATGCATGAAGGTTGTTGAGCTGATAAATAATTCGCCAGAAGAAGCTCGGCCTGCAGTTCTAGTGAGCGCCACTGCTGTTGGCTATTACGGTCTGTACCTTGGTTGTTGTTGTTGTTGTTCATTCTCATGGACCTCTTCTCTAGATATATTTGCAGCCATTGTTGTGTTTGCCATCTCTGTAAGCTCTGTACATTGTCTTTGATCTGTCAGGTACAAGTGAGACAAAAACATTTGACGAAAAGAGTCCATCAGGCAATGATTACCTTGCAGAGGTGTGTGTGTGTGTATACATATATTGGGTTTTGTTTTATCCTCCAGAGTAATGAAAAGATCCAGTTGCAAATTTCTTTTTAAGCTTGTTTGTAAAATCTTCTTCTGGTGTGATTGTAGGTTTGCAGGGAATGGGAAGCAACTGCTATGAAAGTGGACAAGGATGCAGCAAGATTGGCACTTATCCGCATCGGTGTTGTTCTTGAAAAAGATGGTGGTGCTTTAGGTACTTGATCTCTCTCTCTCCCTCTTATCAAATTGATGTCGAGAAAAATACATCCTCATCAAACACAGACATATATATATGTATATACACACACATACCAAAAGATAAGCATGTTGTTGTATTGTTTTTTTTTTTTTGCAGCCAAAATGATACCTTTCTACAAAATGTACGCTGGAGGGCCTCTGGGTTCAGGACAGCAATGGTACGAACGCACTACTCTCATAACAAGCTTCTCCAAGTTTGGCATTTTGGTCATTCATTCGTTCATTCATGGGGGGTGGGCAGGTTCTCTTGGATTCACTTGGACGACATAGTGAACCTAATCTACGAGTCCCTCACAAATCCATCCTATCAAGGTATATCACCTTACACTTGTTAATACCACCATCCTAAAAAACGGCAATTCTACAGTTAAAGATCAGAATTGGTAAATGGTTGCACTGTATTATGGGGGGCAGGAGTGATAAATGGGACGGCACCTAACCCGGTGAGGCTGGGAGAGATGTGCGAGCAGCTGGGGAGAGTGCTGGGCCGACCGTCGTGGCTGCCAGTGCCTGACTTTGCCCTCAAGGCTCTGCTCGGAGAAGGTGCCTCTGTGGTTCTTGAGGGTCAAAGGGTTTTGCCCGTCAGAGCCAAGGAGCTTGGCTTTCGTTTCAAGTACCCCTACGTTAAAGACGCCCTCAGAGCCATTTTGCAGCAGTGATTTGACTAAAAGAAGAAAAAGAAAATGTTTATTCTGAGATGAACAAAGGGTGGTTATTATTTCCTTTTCTGTTTTTGTTTCTTTTGACATAATACACACAACATAATGGAGAAATCATGAATGCAACTACTGTGCTCCACTAAAGAGATGGCTGAGCAAATGGCTCAATTTCAACCCCTCAATGAATACTTCTTCCCAGTAAAAGCTTGAAACTTGGGCTCTTCTTTCTTCTCCGGTTGCTCTTGTTTTTCATCTTTCCCACCTCCCTGAGAAAAAAGAACAGCCAATCACATTCATTCTCTGAATCCAATTGGCTGACTCTCATGGCAACGTAAAAGTTGATATAGTACACGTATTAGTTCAACATGTACCTTTTGCGTACGATTTGGGTTTGCCCCAAACACAAGTTTCCCCTGAGACTGACGAGAACTGCTTGTTATCGATGACGACTGGCCACTACCATCAGCAGCAACGGCTGGCTGCTTGTCTTTGGAACAAGACACGACTGATGGCTGATAGGACAGAGGTTTCCCGTCTAAACGTCTACTGGTTCCAGTGAAAGGGTTAAACTTTGGTTCTGGTTCAGCTGGAGGCTCTTCTTCAACTACATACGAACCAAAAAAGCTCACTAAAACATCTTATGGAAACTTGATTGTTAACTCCGAAATGATGGTTCTGTCATGCATACAAACCTTTCCCCAGACCTTTGGCCTGAGCAGGAGCTGCAGGCCGTTCTGGCTCTTTATAATCAAGGGGAGGTGCAAAATCAACTTCACAGTCTGTTTCAATGATGCTGATTGCGTTAGAAGGCTTTGTCTCGACTATGTCTATGAAGTACTTTTTATTGTTGTAAGGAACCATTATGCTATCCCCGGTGGTTAAGCATGAATAACTCCTCAATGTCGTTTCCAAGCTGCAAGGAAAATATAGGATTAAGATGGACCCAAAAAGATGGCATGGAATAGCCACAAGCCAAACATACAAAGGAACAAGATTAACATTATACGGATTGATACTTGCAAGATGGATTACGTAAAACATTTGATGGGAGCAATATATCGTCGCATGACCAGAAATATATGAATATGAAAGGCAAAAAATAGGTGACTCACATGGCCTTCGGGTTAGATATATCAAGAAAGTCTGTTGTGTGGGGCTGCAGTTTAACGTAGGTTCCCTTTGGGAGAGTGACGTTTTTAACTCTCACAATGTCTCCTTCTTGCAATAGAAGGTTCTGCATCATCTGGATGAAAAATATTCATATCAACTAAGAAAGACTCGGTCAATCACAAGGTCGCAAGCCATTTCCATTTCCATTGACACTAAAATAATAGTTCATAAATATGATTCTCACCCAGTATGGCATGTAAATCATGCCTTCTTCTGCAATGAACTCGAGGACTCCACAGTGAGAGACACGTTCCGTTGCAGCATTCCGAAGCTCAAAGAGCATTGGGTAGTCAATATGCAGAGAGGCTATATGGTTTATCTATGTTAGTATCCTATTTTTCTCTTTATTTTTTTAAGTTTAACAAATCAAACTGGGGCAAAAACACGAAAAACTGGAGTAACAATGTGAAAGAATATAACATACCTAGGCGATCAAGGGCTGATGGTGGCATTATAACTGACATGAACATAAAATAAATCAAATTTCAACTTAAACAGTTGAAAATCAAAAGTGATGGGAAACATGAGCTAGTATACAGATCATATAATAACTTACTCTTGTCACCACTTTCGAGTTGTGGCTGCAGGGAATAATAAGGAAAGAGGGATTAAAAATTGTACAGAAACATTACGGTAGATACGAATGAAACAATGCTGCAATCATCTTTTGAAGTGAGCTTAACTATGGACTTCAGATTGAGAAGAAATTACAAACATATGCATCAAGGATGAGATAATAAAACACAAATATAACAAAATCTGGCACGGAAGGCTGAAGTTATATTTATTCGGCATGACAACTTCATAATTGTCCTCCTCAAGCTTCTCCTCGGTACCAAACTAACAGTAAACAATTAAAACCGAACCTTATCAATAAAGGATGCTGGATAACACCGATAAGTCTGCTCAAATGATGTTCCATAATAGCCATATCCATCAAAATACTGCATCAGAATAATTCAACACAAGTACAATACATTATGTAAACTGACTGTACAAGTATAGAACGAAGATAAAGGTGCAAGAATAAACAATTTAGCAGCTAAAAAAACAAACAAGAGAACGTACCATATTTTCTTCCAGACCAATAGAGCAAATCCAGGTAACCCGACCGCCAACCTTCCGATAAGGGGGGAAGAGAAAGAAAAGCCACAAGGCTCAGAGCAATAGGAAGTAATCAATTTCCTAAGATATAAACAAACACCAATTCATCTGCCATACAAAAATCAAAATTTTAACTTTACCCACTACCTAAATTTTCCTAAAACCAAAGACCTAGGATCCGATCTTACAAACAGTCAGAAGCACAAAGAAGGCGGAAACCAATTTTGCTACCATCAAAACACATGGGCATCCAACCCCGATTGGGGGGACTAACAAAATTCTACCAAGTTGTACCACCTAAAAGTTTACGAAAAGCTAGATTGTTCGACCATCCCTGTCAGACTTCCAAGAAACCTCAAAACGGACAAAACTAATCAGAGAACTCGTTGTCTGGGATTAGATTCTGACAATTTCGAAGTAGAAACAAAACCCTAAAATCGAAGCTTGGTTTCAGATAATCGAGCGAGAAAAATTCGGGAGAGAGAGAGAGCACCAGTTAAGCGAGAGAACAACGAAGTTACCCCGGGAGGAGAGAGATCGCAGAGGAATTGGTGACAGACAGGTGAGAGAGAAGGAATAATTGATAGCGTTATTGGAGACGATGATGTTTGTATATATACTATACGGTGCGTATCGGTCGCGCGAAGTCCACGTGGAAGGGATAGGAGGCCTACCATACGGTATTGGGCCTAGAGGGTTCAGCGGCCCATCGGGCCTCCGATACTGATATCTCTTGATTTAATAATATTATGATATATCTACCATTTCACACAGCTGATAGTCGAGTAATTATTACGTTAGAGCTTTTATCACCAATCGATGTCGCAGTCTAAAGAGTAATCGAATCAAAACCACTTACTATACAAAAATCCCGATGTCCACTGTCTTTTTCTCCCCAAAAAAAAAAAAAAAAAAAAAAAAAAATTCACGTGAACCAGAACTTGTCTCCTGCCATTTTTTATTCAACGAGAAAAAAGTAATAAAATTTAAATACGGGGTCTCTCAGGAGAGTTCTTATTTAGCAGAGAATCCTTCACGATCATATTACAGACACAACAGAATGGTGATAAGGACAACACCAGATGAGAAACATGCCGGAGGCAAATCCACCATCTTACTAACCTGAAAAAAACAGATGAATATATGGTTCGCTCGCTGACAAGGCCGACAAGCGATAAAAGAATCCTTCGGGGGGTCAAAGGCCCGTCCCTCCTCTCAGTCTGCTCGGGACTGACCCGCTCGGGAAGACAAGATGATACCGACGATGAGGCCGTACAGAGCCAGCGCTTCAGCAAAAATGAGGATAAGAATCATCCCGACAAAAAGCTTTGGCTGTTGAGCATTGGCCCTGTGAACAGAAACAACATTGGATATAATTAAATAGAATGCTTGATGGATATACCTCAAGAAAATGCACACTAGGGCGTTCATCATCCTACCTGACACCAGCATCACCCACGATCCCGATGGCCATTCCAGCCGAAAGACCAGCAAGGCCACAGGCGAGACCAGAAGAGAGATGGGCATACCCATCAAAGAGGTAGTATGACTTAGCCTTGGGGTTGATCCCGGTACTGATGATAACAGCAATAATCAATCCATAGATACCGAGAACACCAGCCATAACCACTGGGACAATCGACTTCATTACCAACTCAGGCCTCATCACACCCATCGATGCCACACCTACACCACTCTTTGCCGTCCCATAAGCAGCTCCCATGCCTAATAACGCGAGACACATTCATTATTCATGGATTCATATCGCAATGTAACTCTGCGTGTTCATAAGCAAATTGCTCAGAAAGATCCAAATTTTCAACTAGGAACAAATACTTTATATTCAATCAATTTTATAGAAGAGCTAAATTTTCTTAAGTTAATATCGATCACAGCAACTACAAAGCCTTGGAGTTTCTCACGAAACAAAAGGGACATTTTTTGGTGCAGTGGATTTCACAAGGTTGGTTCAAAAAATTTCTTCAGACTCCAACAAACACCAAGCCTAGGAACAAATATCAATTCACCAACACAAATCTACAAAAAAAACCTGAATTTTCGAAAATCCAGCAAACGAGCGTCTTAATTCCTCAAGATCCTCGTCCACTACAGCAAGCAGAGAGATCAGAAATATACACTATCCAAAAGGACAGACTTGAATAAATCTCTCCCATCCAAGTCAAATCCAGGGCAGAAGGCTATAATCATGATTGTCTTGGATTCCAGTAACCCAAAGTTCAGAAAGATCATAGAAACAACAGAAGCGGACAGATCGGCGTATTCCGCTAGACACCGATCCCTAAACTAGGAAAACATATCCCGATCTCTCCAGATTTCATTCGATCCCAGCGACTGGGAAGTTCAGAAACACCACGAAAGCAACCAAAAACACAGATCGAACGGAATTCAAAAGGAAAATCAGAATTTAGAGTTCGTTTACAGGAGAAAACGAGCGCAGCCGCAGCGCCGAGGAAACCGAAGAAAGGTGCAGTCTCATCGCCACTGAACGAAGACATATCTGGCCGGTTCCGGATCTTAAGACGAGATCGCCGAAGGTTGCCGTAAGAATTTTGTTATTCTCTAAGCAGCGAGACCGGGGATCTGATCTTACCTGGTTCTCTTTGAGGATTGACAGTTGAACCCCGTCTGTCATATTATAGCAGCGATGCACCCACGTCGTCGTGATCTCAGTCGGGTCGACCCGCACTCGACCCGGTTTATCATTTGGGCCTTCTGTCTGAGCCCATATAACTTGTTTTATCGAACGGTCCATGTAAAGCTAGGATAGGTTTATCGGACGGTCTATATTTAATTTCTCAATGACCACGTCCTTTCGGAGATGTCGTATTTTACATTAACTTGTATCTCTTCGACCAGAAACGCTTTTTTTTTTTCTTGCAGAGGAATGTGAAGGACGATAATAACCTTGTATCTCTTCCTCGTTACGTTAAGCATAGAACCGAGGCTATTTTGGTAATCCTGGAAACAGTATCGAACTCTTCTGCTTCCGTTCTCGCTCTCTTTCTCGATATCCATTTCTCGTCTCTTCGGACAAATCTGTAAGTTTATTGTCTTTCTTCCTCGTCTTCATGTCTCGTGTAATCTGTGATTTTTACGGATGTGTTCCATCTTTAAGCTGTCTCTCTAGGGTTTCTGTTCTCTATATTCAATTTCTCCCAAAAAAAAACATTTCCTTGGGGGAAATTGGGCTCACAATCGTAGCTCCCACTCAAATTCGAGATCTTTAGGCGGTAACCTAGTGTTGGCAGTTGTAATTTTTCGTGATTTCTATTCATCCCATTGTTTGTGACGAATTTCGATTGTTTGGGTTATTTGCTGACGAAGAACCCTACCTGGTTCTTGTGCTACGGTTTTTGGGAGTTGTTTTACAGTGGGCCAAAGAGACATTCTGATACCGGAAGGTGTGATTTTTCATGGTTATTGCCTAAATTATTGTCGGAAATTCTTTTTTTTTTTCGTTTTCTTTGGAAGATAAGAAGATGGAGAGTGGAGGGCAGTATGAAAATGGAAGGTACAAACCCGATTACTACAAAGGCGCACACTCTATGGTAAGATACACATGAAATGGTTACTCTTTTTTGTTTTTGGGCTTCCTCCATTGAAGCTAAGTAGATGGAGACTGTGTGGGCAGTGGAACCTGATGCCACAGCATCAGATAAAGGAGCAACACAATGCGCTGGTGATGAATAAGAAGATCATGTCCATCCTGGCCGAGAGGGATGCAGCGATACATGAAAGGAATGAAGCCATATCTGCAAAGGGGGAAGCTCTAGCTGCTAGAGATGATGCCCTTCAGCAACGAGACAAAGCTCTTTCCGAGAGGGATAACGCCTTGATGCAGAGAGACAATGCCTTGGCTGCGCTTCAGTACGGGGAAAACCATTTGCCCAGTTCTCGGAATGGCATGGCTGAGGAGGCTGTGCGTGCCGGGGAAACCCACATACCTGAAGCCTTTCCTATATCGACTGAAACAGCAAACACGAAGAAGAGCAAAAGGAAGAAGGAGAAAAAGCCGCCAGTTCAGTCAAAGGATCTGAACCTCCGAGCTGGAAAGAAATGCAGAACAGACTGGGAAAGTACCGATGTGGGTTTGAACCTAATCACCTTCGAAGAGACGACTATGCCAGTACCGATATGCACGTGCACGGGATCGGCCCATCAGTGTTACAAATGGGGAAACGGAGGGTGGCAGTCTTCTTGCTGCACAACCACATTGTCGCAGTATCCGCTTCCACAGATGCCGAACAAGAGGCATTCCCGAATGGGTGGACGGAAGATGAGCGGAAGCGTTTTCACGAGACTACTCAGCCGTTTGGCAGCTGAAGGGCACGATCTCTCTTGCCCCGTCGATCTCAAGTACTACTGGGCCAGGCACGGTACTAATCGCTACATCACCATCAAGTAATGTTCGTTCTCTCTTTCTTTCTCCAAAGCTTTGCTTCCTGATTTTAAGATTACGGTATTAAGTAGTGGTCAGAATGAATATGGAATTGAAAGAATGAAAGCTGAAGCTTATGTGTTAAGGTTGCTGTCATCTTGTCAATATGTCTTTGTAAGAGGTAAAACCCAAATTGTTATAATCTTTTGGTCGGAATTCACTCTGATAATGGCTCAATGCTGTGTATATATAGACACGTACTTTCATCTCATAACGACATGAAAGTATTATATAATTGAAATTAAATAATTACGTAGTTATAGAACTGATTAAATCCTAAATTGTACATATCCTTCCGAATAATGGAAACCAGTTTCTTTTTTGTCCCTGTTCATCAATAAAGGGTTCCCGTTTACATGAACTAATTTCAGCAAGCCACTTATAATTGGATTAAGACTTGATCCACGTGATTTGCACGTTCTTTTCTTCTTCTTTTGTTTTTAAACTTAATTAATCCCATCTTATATCATAAATGTTTTATTTACTCCGAATTCTAATTGCGAAAATATTTATAGGAAGGCTTAGATACTTTGTATGAAACATACAGATTGAATGGGATGGTTATTGGTAGTGGCACATTAATGTAACCATGCGAAGGTGTCAACATATGTTGGGTGGTGGGGGCTCAGACATTAAAGACGAATATTAAAGGCCAATATGAATATATATTGATAGGCGACAATGTTTACACTTTTACAATATGTGTCATTATCCAAAATTTACTATTTTATACTTTTGCTCCGTTTTAAAATATTTATTGTTTTAAATTATTTCATATTTTTTTTAAAAAAGAGAAAAAAAATTACATAAACAAAAATTCTTGTTTGATGATAAAAATAATGTTATCATTAATATTATATTGGAATTTGGTAAAGATAAAATTAAAAATTATTGTAAAAAAATGTTTTGAAAATATAAAATTACAAATATTTTGAAACATAAAAAATAACCTAAGATGTTGAATGAAAAATGGTTTTCAGAGTTTTTGGATTTTAAAAACTGAAAAAACCGATAATCAAGTTTTTTGAAATTTGGTTTTCCTAAAAACCCAGAAATCTATTTTATGGAAAAAATCAACTAAAAACCAAAAAACCACATTTTTTTAGAATTTATAAACTTATAAAATCCAAAATCCAAAAATCAAAAACTAAAAACCAAAAACCAAAAACTAAAGCCAAAAACCCAAAATAAAAACCAATGTCATTCAAGGCCTAAAATTATAAATATTTTGAAACGGAGAGAATATATTGATAGGCGACGATAATCGTTTATTCATGTTGAATTTTGGTACGTCGTTGGTGTAATAATTCACTAATGTAAGTATTTACGTGTTATCGTATCATACCACTATGTATATGAACCAACTTATATTCCTTTTCATCGCGGAAACCATTTTTTTTTTAACACAGAACGGTGCATTATAAAAATAATTTGTGATTTGTTTTAATATATATATTTTAAAAAGAAAGAAAGAATGGCTACACACTATGCGGAGACACGGGAGACGGCAGAATCTTTGGTTGAGCAACAAATGTCGAATGTGGTCGGAAGGGGATCTGAAACGCAGTCCAAATACAAATTATCAGAAAGGAAAAAAAAAACAAAAGAAATATCCGAATTATAAATTTGTAATAAAAACAGCATCTTGGCAATTATGCGTTGAGAGAGGTTAGAGTTTTTATTTTTATACCTTATTTTATTCTTAAAAATCATATAGAAATTAAATTCATTTAAGATCTGCAGAAGATTGCATGTAATCCAAAATCTCTCGGGGTGTATTAAATTCACGGGTCCCTCTGGGGGTGTTTTGTATTTTTTTCCCCTTCTTCCCCCATGAATTCCGTGTCTAAAGTCTCCCTTCCTCAAGCTTTTACTATTTCCTCAAGAAAAAACGGAGAGAGAGAATCACTGGGGGGAAAAGAAAAAAATCCCTCCTTTACTTTCCAATTTCTAGAGAGAGAGAGATTTGATTGATTTTCAACGCGTTCTGGAGAGAGAAATTGCTCTGTTGTTCGTCTGCTTCTTCGCCATCTGCGCCATTGATTGATTCGGTGTAGAAGCAGATACACCCACCGCATTTGCTCTCTTTTTTTTTTCTCCTTCCGTAAAGGTAATATTTTTTTTTTCTCTCTATCAAGTTGACGAGACATTGACAGAATCTGTAGTTCTCGAGTTTCTGTGAGAGCGCTAATCTTCTGCTTAGTTCGTGCATCTGGTGGTCGGATGTTCACTACTGTTTACCCTTTTTCCTGCTCTCTGATCGAAGGTTTTTCCAAGCTTTGGACTTTTTAGCGTCTCAGTTCTCCGAGCGGTGGGTTTTTACCTTTCTCGTTGTTGTTGCATTATCCTTCGGATTCGATTTCAGCCGCGGGATTAGGGAAAATGGGTGATACGGAAAAGGGTAATACCGATATGTTGCGGAGAATTCATTCTTCGTTCGGTGTATCGTCTTCACTGATCCCGAAGCGGCCTCTGTCAATGAATCAGCAGCTCGAAATCCCGCATTTGAACCCTAATCTCATCCGTTCCCGGCAATTTCCCCAGTTCCCACAGCCTTTCAGCAGTACCAGCAGCAGTGGCGGCGACAGTGGCAAGCGGCCCGGCATGCCGCCGTCGCACCCGAATCCGATCCCGCCCATTTCGCCGTACTCTCAGATCCCGGCGACCCGACAACCCGGTTCGCAGAATTTCAACCCGGGACCCAGTCATTCTCGGTCCCTGTCGCAGCCCTCCTCCTTCTTCACATTCGACTCCTTGCCGCCGTTGAGCCCCTCTACGTTCCGCGATTCTCCGTCGGCGCCGGATCATGACGTGCCGATGGAGGATAGAGACTCCGGGGGATTCAACCCTTCCTTGCCCCCGTCCCCGTTCACGAGGTCTAACTCGAGCTCTAGTTCGTCGAGGGTCGGCGGCGGGGAGAGTCTCCCCC